TTCTTTGTGGAACCAAAAATGGTTCTTCTATGGCATCGCTGTGAAGAACTTTTTAAGCACCTTTGTTTTTAAGAGCGTATTCACATAGAAATCAGAATAAAATAAGATCATTGCATTCTATATGGGACATGCTGAAACCTGCTTCATGAACCCTGGAGATGCTGTCAAATGTGTTCAAAAAATTATTGTAATCATTATGGAGTCAATGATTATATTTCTGCTGCAAAATCGCTTCATTATGACCTGCAAACAGGTATGAAATTAAAGGATTTTCATTATTATCAGAGGATTATACGTCTTGTCTTAAGCTTACCAAACTGTTCCCCAAAGCAACTGCTTTTATCATGTTTTAGCCACAGCACATTTTTGGCATTGAGATTGCAATCGCAGATCTTGGAGTTCCCCAGATACTTTGTTTTTTATATGTATATATATGCATACATAACACACAAAAAATGCAATGCAGTTTTTATTGTGTAAAAATTTGTCAAATACTCTATTGTGTTTAAAAGTCTATATAGTCAGGGGTTGCATCTTCTTTCTGTTTGCATATGATGCTCTGAGTTTCCTTTTCATGGAAAATGAAAATCCAGTCATATTTCCTGATTACAAAACACAATCATATCACTAAATACACTCTTAAAAATAAAGGTGCTTAAAAGGTTCTTCACAGCAATGCCATAGAAGAACCATTTTCGATTCAGCAAAGAACCATTTTCGATGTTAAAGGTTCTTTATGGAACCATTTAGACAAAAAAGGTTCTTCTATGGCATCGTGAATCACCTTTATTGTTAAGGGTGTACATTAACTGAAACAATACAGCATATATCAAAATTGACAATGACTCATGCATTAATGTATTTATTGTGTATACAGTAAAGTATATTTGGACTAAAAGTATTGTGCAATTGCAAAGTTAAAAATAATGAGCTTTGTATATAAAAATTTGAGCTGAAATGGTGCTTGAACTGATCAAATGCATACCTTGAATGCAATTACATTTATGCATTTGCCAGATGCTTTTATTCAAAGCAACTTATATTGCATTCAAGGTATCAGCTTAGCATGTCATGCATTATCAAACCCATGACCTTGCAGCTGTATAAACTATGGAAATGCAGTGTATGTATGCGTGCAATATAAAATAAAATTTTCTTGTAAGACCTGAAAATAACTTAAGCACGATCAACGTACCACGTCAAAAGTGTGAATGGCTCACTGCAATAGCAACACTTTACTTTACTAGTATGTCAAAGCCTCACTATGTTCAGAAAGTATTGCTTGGGCTAAAAAGGCCCAATGAAAGGGTCTCTTTATGGGACCCTTTCATCCAAAATGTTTCACCAACCTCAGAGACTAATCATGTTCCTCATAGTTGGCATGAGGTAAAGTGTGCTTGTGTATTCCTGCACTGAGTTACAACATGTTCAGGACAGAGTCGCCTTAAATAAAACCTCTTTGAAGAGGAAATCTAATCCCTCTGAGCTATGCAAGCGCTCCTGAAACCACCAATAGCAACGATAACAGTTGTCTCGGATTAAAGTAACAATGGAGAAGTATGGAGTTGTGGTTCCTTAGGCAAAATGAGCATTGAATGTTTTTACATTTGTGGCCTCAATATATAACCTGACCCACATATTTGGAAGCTGTGTGCTTTCCTAATATTTTGCATTACTAGCTCTGAAAGGATGAGCTTATTGTGCACCTGAATTGGTTTTTTTATGCATTAATCCCTGATGATAATATTCACCTGAGGGCCCGATCACCTGCAGGATACTTAAAGGAGGATAGTATAGAATAACACTTTCTCCTACACTTATGGAAATTAGCCATGCTTTTACTACAAATGATACCAATATATATATATATATATATATTGTAAACATGGTAACCACAAATTAACCATGGTTTTGCTACACTAACCGTAGTTTAACCATTGTATTTGTTGTAAAACGGTGGTTATACAAATGGTAATCAATCTGCCAAAAAAAAAAAAAAAGGTTACTAGAATTTTACTGTTATAAAACCATGGTTAATTTTTGAAAAGGTACATGTATTCAATATTCAAATGCACACATTTTAGGCATCATATTACATTATTGTTGTATATTTCTTTGTAACAATCCCTTTTTGCCCGGCATACTTTTGAAAAAGTGGTCAGTTTACACCTAAAAAGGACAGAACTTTTGGTTTTTTGAAGACAATGAAATTGTTTAGAGATTAAAAGTTCTCGCTTTCAGTACGGACATCGGTGAAAGTTACGATCAGTTGCAGTTATTTAAATGAATCAGCTGATGATTCAGTAAGTAACCAACTCTCATGTACTCTCTCTAGTTCTTTTAGTGAATGAGTGGTCAGTGAATGAGCTCGTCAAACCAGAACTTTGAATTTGTTTGTGAATTGACCTACGCTATTACTGAATGTTTTTGACTCACTAAAAAGAACCGACGTATAAGAGTCTAATATGTTCTTTAGCTAGACTACACTAGTTGCATTCTGTGTTGTTAATTCACTAAAAAGAAAGGTTGCGCTGAATGTTTTGACTAATTAAAAAGAACCTGCTCATTACAATCGTTTGTTCATAATTGAGATACTAATCACGTATTAGCCTACGTATGTTGTTGATTCACTAAAAAGAACCGACATGAATTGCACTGCACAGGTTGCACTGAATTCTTTTCACTCACTAAAAAGAACCGGATTATAGGAGTCATTTGTTTGTGTGTTTAACTACACTAGTCGCAAAGTACCCATGTTGTTAATTCACTAAAGTAAACCAATTTATTAGAGTCGTTTTTCTGAATGGGATTACACTGGTTGCACTGAATGTTTTTGACTCACTAAAAAGAGCTGGCTCACTAGAGTCATTTGTTTGTGAACTGAACTAGAAAAGTACTAAAAACAGCTAAAAAGTCAAGATTGACTTGTGTGTAATGCTTCAGTCCTCAGGCTTTGTGCTTCTCACGCAGGGAAAGATACAAAGAAATGTTTTCCTCACTCAGTCACATCATTACCAGGGTACATTATATTTTTACGGCCTCCACATTTCTCATTTGAAGCACAGAAATCCAACCTTGCTGCAGGATATTTTTTGCCTCAAAGGCAGAATGAACTGTAGCAACTGAAAAACAATTTATCAGGAAGGAAGCCAATTAAGGGACCCATGTTGTTAATTCACTAAAATAAACCAATTTATTAGAGTCTTAATCCTCATTTTTCTGAATGGGATTACACTGGTTGCACTGAATGTTTTTGACTCACTAAAAAGAGCTGGCTCACTAGAGTCATTTGTTTGTGAACTGAACTAGAAAAGTACTAAAAACAGCTAAAAAGTCAAGATTGACTTGTGTGTAATGCTTCAGTCCTCAGGCTTTGTGCTTCTCACGCAGGGAAAGATACAAAGAAATGTTTTCCTCACTCAGTCACATCATTACCAGGGTACATTATATTTTTACGGCCTCCACATTTCTCATTTGAAGCACAGAAATCCAACCTTGCTGCAGGATATTTTTTGCCTCAAAGGCAGAATGAACTGTAGCAACTGAAAAACAATTTATCAGGAAGGAAGCCAATTTCTGAAGGCACATCTTGCTGCTATCTGAGCAGACATGCCTCGGCCTCCTGCACCACCAGCAAGGAAGAGAAAGGAAAAATGCCGTAAAGGTGCAGAAATGGGACTTCACACGTTACACGTGAAATGAGAACTCCAGGATGACAGCAGCATGCTGGAACCCGCAGAAGAGGCAGATATTCAGACAGCGTGTCTAAAGCGTTCGCCATTAGCTGTGACAAGATAGTGATGCTTGCATTGTAGAGTTTGGCACATCCTTCACTAAGAAAACAATAGCATGGCACTATGTTTTTGGAGATTTGCCATAGTAGAACCTTAGGGTAGAATACTGTGGCACTTTGTACGTTTACGTCAAAAAGACTATTTTTTTTCTTTTAGGAAAGGTTATTTGTGACTGGTACTTTGAGGACTCTCAAAGTACTATCTGATACCCTCATTGTACCTTGGTGCCAGCACAGTACTTTCATGTAAAAGTTAACCATTAGAAAGTAAATTTAACAGTCTGTTTCACAAGAGCCATAGGCTATAATTCTCTGGCTTTTTATTGACCCTGTTTTATTGCGCGACAGCTCTTCTGTTTCACAGGAAAGTGAAAGTAGGTTACAACACAGTGAAAACTATATTAAATTTAATCTGAAATGGATTAAGACTGTCAGATTTGTTTACTACTGTCATGTGTCTTAAAACATGTAACTGCAAGATACTATAGTCTGCAATCAAAATTCTGAGATCTTTGTATGAACTCAAAAAATCTCATCAAATTCTTCTAAAATCAACTAGTCTACATAAATTTTATAGCTCCATACTTTCAGTATGACAACTATTGACTTATTTGTGTCTTATCGTCTAATAGGGATTGTAGCAGAAACCTCTGATACATGCATGCATCACTTAAAAAGAATAAATCCAGTTACTTTCAAAACATTTTATTTTTGATATACAAGAAAATATCTGCAGTGTATAGAACCCAAAGAGCTTATGATCCGGTTTCAAAACAGCCGAAAGATAAAATGCGCATCACTTCCTCTATAAAGATACATTCTCACTGGATCAAGTGTGAACATTAAAGTAAAAAAACAGTAGTTCCACTTAAATTAAAGAAGAAGAAGAAAAAAACTTTACCAAACATATCAAAAAATGGAAAATATGCATTTATGAAAAGAGATCTATGAATATTCATTCTATCAATAGCTATAAAATAATCACTTGTGAAGCTCACTGCATTAAGCAAAATAACAAATCGTAATTTACAATGCATTATAATATCATACAAACTCAAAAATCACTTGGCGGTGCATCAGCAGTATAATAAACTCATAAGGAAATAGAAGGATTATCTGCTTTGCTTGCAAAACCTTCCCACCCACATTTACGACTAATAATATTTTTATCACACTGACTGTTTATTGATACTGTGGGGCAAAAGCGGTAAATCAAAGTGAAAGTTGATAATACAGTAGCTTAATACGACCCTCAAGGTAACACTATACACATGAGCTCTGTTCCAAAACCTAGTGAGCTGCCTAGTCAGTATGTTCAAGCAGCATTGCATGCATTGCAATATAGCGGACAAAGCAGAAGAAATTTAAATGTACATTTTATTAAATACTGAAAAAGAAAGCAATTTAAATGTATTGTAATTTAAATGCGGATTACATGAAGAACACTAGTTAATTGAGCACTGATTGATTACTATGCAGTCACTTTTTACTTCGTAGGCGCTTTTTTGGGTAATTTTGTGCTTGTGTGAGGAGACTAAAATACACCCGAGATTATAGTTTAAACGAGTACAAAGACATTTTTATCGCTCATAACTTTCGAGAGAAAAGTTCAGACACTGGACAAGGATAAATCTTTGTAGTGCACATGCGCCAAGCGCCCTCATTTACGCACGTTATCCAATAAAGGCTGTGTTCGGTTGTGCGCATGCACTAAACCGAAGAATACTTTTGGGCTTTTTAAGCAGGCAGCTCGCAAGGTTTTACACAGAGCTTGGAAGTGATGACAACAGCAGCACGTGGAGAGGGAAAATAATGGCCATCTCCCATTCGGAGCATTTAACCAGCAGTCCGTCAGTGAAGCGACAAAAGTCTGGAAACAGGAAATGCCACCTTATACCAGATAGAGCACAGGGCGGAACACAGGAAGTACTGAGAACATCAGCCAATCCATGCTGAAATGTGCGCTCGGAGAGCCAGAACTCAACGAAAGAACGTGATTGGCCGAGACACTCGAGCTGTTTTCCCTCTGGTCCTCTCTCGGCCGCAACTGGCTTGCTTAACCCCGTGAATTCTGTACATCAAAAAACAAAAATAAGTGATTTAATAACAGAGTCACGTTTAAAATAGCGTCTTTTGACAAAATTATTATTTTATAATGATCACACATGCCATGTTTATGGTTTAGCCCGGGGCTGTCCAAACTCGGTCCTGGAGGGCCGGTGTCCTGCAGAGTTTAGCTCCAACCCTAATTAAACACACCTGAACCAGCTAATCAAGCTCTTACTAGGCATAGAAACTTCCAGTCAGGTGTGCTGAGGCAAGTTGGAGCTAAACTCTGCAGGACACCGGCCCTCCAGGACCGAGTTTGGACAGCCCTGGTTTAGCCTATTATTAATAGATATTAAGGAAAACATTAAAATAAAATTCCTTTGTCACACTGCAGGCATGATCTGATATACGAGTATTTTTAATTAGATTTTATTTACATCTATTGTTTTCGTTTTAATTTTAGTTGTAGTTTTAGTACTTTTGTTATTTGTTTACTTTTTAATAAAGCTATTCACCAATTAGTATTTATTCGTTTTAGTTTAGTTTTAGTAGTACTTCAACTTGAACTAATTAAAAATATGAAATGTTGCTCTGACAACTAGTTGAAATAAAAATAGGTTTAACTGTTTACATATTTTAATTTATTTCAGTTAATGTTTATTTTTTATTTTGACTTTTTTTATTTTGAGATTATTTATGGGTTTAATTAATGATAATAAATATTTAAGTCAATAGTTGATTATAAATGCTTAAAATTCAATTAAAATAGTTAATAGTGAAATAGTTACATTTCAAAATATACACACCTTCTTCTTCATAAATGAGCTTTCTGTCAGTATGTCCACCCTCCGCATGAGTTCATGGACCCATTTATCTCTGGGGTTGGTGCACATCATACGGCCACGTTTCAGTGTGAAGCTGTGGGGAGACAATTGCATTAAACATTATTAATTATGAGGTTTAAAATAGGCAATCACAAAGACCGATCTCTCTCCTGCAGTTCACTGCAGTGCAATGCATTTTATTGCATCACTTCACTGTGTGTCACGTCACATGTCTAAACAATTTATGCACTCACTTCACTTACGGAAAAAATTAAGACCCAACCATACATGTACATACAGTATATACATAAATATGAGTAAACGAGGCTATAAAAAAATGAATACTGTACTGTTAATCCTTTTGATATTTCATTCAATGCAGATTTATTTATTTTCATATAGCCTTCATATTTACTAACATATATAAGTTTCTTACACAACAGCTGAGATGTTGCAGCCTCCGTCCTGCTCTTGTTTTCTGTAGCTGATCACTTTGTTCCTAACGGACGGTTTAATTTTCCTGACATACTGCAGACAGCAGTCCTCATACGAGCCTACAGACAGATACACGTGCACATCAGTGGCATAAAAAACACATCCATCAATGAATCATAACATAACTATTTTTTACAGGCAATTACAGATGGATGATTTTATGGATGAATGTCTCATAAAACCATAAATCGGGGCAAACAAGGAAGGGGTGGAAAGACAACACAGGTGCTTATTATATGAGAACTGCTAGCAGAGCCATTAGAAGTGAAACTGAATTCAATAACTAGTCAAAGTGCACACATATACTGCAGAGAAAACACAAAATGTTTAACGACTTCTTTTTAGAAATTAATTAGAGGAACATGATGAGGTGGACACACTGTATTCAGTACTTTTATAATTTTTTATTATTTCTTTGATATTTTCTCAATGAATTATTTGCGTTAGTTTTCAAAACTGAATAGGATAAATGGAAGTAATATAATCATTTATTTTTGTTCATTACTGTTTCCAAAAAGACACACTATCTTATATGCAATATGAAAAATTATGACAGATGCTGTAAAAATATACTTTAATATAATAATATATACCAAGGATAATTAAATATCATTGAAATAATATGCAAACAAATGGTATGGATGTGACAAAAACAGGAAATGTTTACCAAACTTGAGTGATTTTATTTAACATTTAAAATAATGCAATGTAACGTGAATTGCTGCACCATTAAATCAATTCTTTGGAATTAATTTGTCTCTTTAGAAATAATTTGAATAGGCAAAGTACACCCTTGACATTTGATTTTGAAATTTAAAAATGCATTCATTTGTTGTTTTTCTGAATCTCACATGTGCAAACTAAACGATGCTATATCAAAAATCAACTATTGTGCAATATGTTCCAGTATATTTTCTTAAACTTCAACATTGCAAAAGTGTTTTTGGTGTAAAAGAGCCTGATTGTTTGTAATACAATCATAACTTCTGTTTTTTTTACCTTGTGCCACTGTGAGGTAGAGGAATCCCAGGAGGACGATGAAGAAGAGGATGCTGAACCGCATGATTACCCAGTGTCTCTACTGTCAAAATGAGACAGAAAATCATGAACCGCTTCACCGGATACACTCACAAACACATGCCCACACAATAGATGCTCTCATGAGAGCCTCCATAAACCTTATCAGCACAGAAGGCGCGTTTTCCAACACACTTATCCTCATTTCTCCGGCCTTGACCCTATATCAGTAACATATTAAGAAAGCTCTTTGTGTTGTCAAAAAGCAGTTAAAATTACGACAGATGCTGTAAAAATATAATTTCCTCATCTCTGAACAAAACTGGCAACATGAAGACAAACCTACACATTTTATGAGAAGAAAACTATAAAGACAAAACTGAATGCAAGCTTTGTTCATGAACACATTAATCTTAATTTATCTTTAGTAAATCATTAATGAATATTGACCGGTGTTCGTATTTTTTCCCGGTCACTCCAGCGCATGCAGTAAAACTGCAATAATCACTATGTCAAATTTACTCGGAAACCCAACAGGTGAAGGTCGGCATTTCAAAGAAAAAACTAAAATGTTACCGTTTGGTATCATTAAAGAGTTTAGATTTGAAAGGATTACCGTTAAACATTAGATGCTGTAAAATGATGTTGTTTTCATATTAGACTGCTCACCTTGTTTGTCTAGAAAAGCGTAGATTCTTCCCAGTACCAGGATTCTGTGCAGGTTTCCCAGCTGCACTGACTTATAATGGACCCAACCCTGATATCTGAGCCAGGTGAAGCCACATCCCTCACGAGGAAATGATGGGACATCATGAGATCAACTTGCATGGTTGGTTAAATGAAAACCAAAAGCTGCATTGCATTTTTCAGTACTATTGAATAATGGTTAAAACAGTTCATTGTTTTGATAATGGAAAAATGTAAGTTGTCATGCACAGAAGAAAAATGCTGCAAAAACTAATTTCATTCAAAAATTGCTAGTAGATATCACAAATAATTATTAAGAAATGGCAAGTAATACACTGAATTAAACATTACATTTTGGAATAAATGTACATTAGGACATTTTGGACCTATTCCATTAATCTTTGTTTGATTTACAACCTCAAAAATTATTTTTTTTACAGTGTAGTGATTGTCAAGGCTATTTTGTTTCCAAAAAGAATGAAAAGTACAGCTGAAATGGACAACTGTAGTTCATGCATGATCTTCATGAGCCTTCAGAAGCCATATGATAGCTTTGTGTGAGGATCAGATAGAAATTTGAGTCATTATGCATGAAAATGTTTCATTACTCCAATTCAATCTGTCACAGTAATAATGCATGAAAATATGTATAAATTGCACACAGTATTAATCATTAGGAAGTGAATGCAAAAAATATTGAGTAGCTGTTTTGGGTTTTATCACATAAGCACAGGTCAAAACGTACCAGAATTTCTTAATTTTCCTGTGTAAGCCTCATATTAATGCACATTTTTGTTTGGCTTGCAAAGTGACTAATTTGATGATGATCATTCAGTTCTTGCCAGGTATTATATAAAGAAAAAAAAATCTGAAACACAATTATGGCACAAATTCGGGCCTTGCAGCGTTTTAAGAAATGTAAGCCAAGCGGAGGGCTGTTTAAACTTGACTCGTGTTGAATGAGACTTCTAGCATTTTGCAATTACACAAAAAAAAAACAAGTGACAGGAGAATGTGCATCAGATTTCAACCTCCAAAGAAACAAACATGCTTCAGCTTAAAAGCACAGATGTTATAGCATATCATGTTTCCTACCTTAAGAACCGTTTGGCGTGGCATCTCAATGAGCGACATTTTACTTTCTGATTGTCAGGTTGCTATTATGAAAGCTTTTTCGTTTTTTCTAAGCGTTGATTTCAATTTGAATATGGAAACTGTCAAAGAGTTTCACGGAAATTCATAGCATATGTAAATTCTACAGCTGAGGGTCTTTTCACCTTTATAAGTTACTTGATTTGCTGTTGCAATGCAATCAAAATGAATCTGGAGTAATTTTATGCATAAAAATTACCAGAAATATTATAAGTACATTCACAGACATTCCATCAGTTAACCTTTTTTTTCAGATTTCATTGCATAACCATAAGCCTTATGATAAGCCGTAAAACGGATAATAAAGAATGAGAACAAAAACAAGACTGTATGAATACATGATTGCTTTTAGTAACAGTACAAATAAGAGAAGCTAATCCTGAACTTGAGTCTTTTATATGTATCCGAGTCATATGTTGATTATTTTTGCCACTCTGACGGATTCAAGTTCATTTGTTAAACGGTTCACCAGAATTCCTTAGATTGATTTAACTCCTGAGTCTTTTGAATGATTCATCAAAAGAATCAATTCATAAGAGTCATTTGTCCGTGAATCGATCTACACAGGTCACGTCATCGGCCCGAACACGGCGAGGTATACATGTATTTCCGTTTGAACGTTTTTTTCTAGTATAATACAGTATTTTTACATTACTATAGTATACTGTCAGCAAATGCTCTTTTATCTTTCTGTATGACGTCATCATCCTCCATAACGCTCTGATGTTTACAGAATGACACCGTCATGAACTCTTGCGTCGCCAAGGTAACACTGTCAGGGGTGGTAAAGGAAGAGGAATCAGTTGCAGGGATAACAGATTTTATTGAGATTCAAAAACAAACAGGAACGAAGCCACTGTCTGAGAGGGTAATCTGGAGAGATTCCAACCAGGTCCGGGGAAGAGAAAGTCAGCTCAACAGCAGGTATCTAGGAAAAGGGTTTCAAGAGCAAATGGCCACAAGTAATAGTCCACGAACGAGACAGTCCAGCTCTCCAAATAATTCCAGGGGCCAGAGAATGGCGATGGTGGGAGGGAGAGGAACAGGGAATGCTGGGCAGCGAGGGGAAGGAGGCAGGAGGCAGACAGAATGGAGTCCAGCAGCCAGGGCAGACGGGGAGCTAGAGAGGGCAGAGGGGAAGGGAAAAAACAAAAACAAAACTAAACGGCTGGAGCGGAAACTAGGAACTAGAAAGAACTGGGCTAGATCAAAAGAAAAACCCTAATATCAAAAGTAAAATAAAAGCAAAGGAAACTAGGCAAGACAACACAGGAAACAGGATAACAGTCAACAGCGACAAGAGCCAGGTTAACTCAGCAGAGCAGAGATTTCGATCTGGCACAAGACAGAAAACAAGAGGGGAATATAATGATCAGAAACAGGTGTTACCCCTAATGAGATAAGGTAACGAGAGGGGCGGGGTAACAATAGACAATAGAGCACATGGTAAACATTTACCAACTGACGGCCATGTGCTCCAGACAGACCAGGACACAACATAAACAAACCCAAATCAGACCGGTGCCTTGACAGTGCCCCCACCTCCAGGAGCGACCCCGGACGCTCCAGGAACAGAGGAGGCCTGTCGGCGGTGGAAATCCTTGATCAAGGAGCAGTCCAAGATATCCCGAGACGGCACCCAGCACCTCTCCTCAGGACCGTACCCTTCCCAGTCCACAAAGTACTGGTATCCCCTACCACGCCTTCTGGCATCCAACAGCCTCCTAACAGAGAACACAGGGGAACCGTCAATGAGACGGGGGTGGGGGGGAAGGAGCAGACACACCTGGGTTCAAACGGGAAGAAATTACAGGCTTGCCACGAGACCCGTGAAAGACAGGGTAGACACGAGCAAAGACAGATGGGAGCCTGAGCCGCACTGCCGCCGGACTTACAACTTTAGTAATGCGTATGGCCCTAAGAACCTGGGTGCCAGCTTGCGTGTTGGCACCTTAAGGGGCGGGTCCTTAGTGAAAAGCCATACCCTCTGCCCACAAACCTACTTGGGTGCAGGAGTCCGACGACGATCGGCTGCCACCTTGGCACGTCTCCCCGCCCGAATGAGCGCCTTCCTGGCTCTTTCCCATGTGCGTCTGCACCTCTGGACAAAGGCCTGGGCAGAGGTGATCGTGGCATCAGGTTCCTGTGAAGCAAACAGAGGCTGATAACCAATAGAACTTTGAAAAGGGGACATACCAGTGGCCACCACAGGAAGTGTATTATGGGCATACTCTGCCCAGGTGAGCTGCTGGCTCCAGGAGGCGGGATCGTGTGATACCAGACAGCGGAGCATCCGCTCCAAATCCTGGTTGGCTTGCTCGGACTGCCCATTGGTCTGCAGATGAAATCCCGACGTCAGCGCTGGCGGGCAAAAGCCAACGTCCTCCGCACACCTGGCTGGCAGACCAGCCTAGAAGAATGACTCCACTTGGGGACTGAAGGACGCAACGGACCCGGAACAAACATCAGACCAGTTGGGCAACCTCCCGGGACCGCCACCCCCCGCAAGGCCTCCCTGACCCGCCTCTCAATACCCCAGGAAACAGCCGTCAGCACAACACCCTCTGCCGCCCCCTCCAGCCAGTGTCGCCACTCACCCAGTGCCAGCCTAACCACAAGCAGCTCATGATTCCCAACATCATAGCTCTGTTCTGCTGGGCTCAGGCGGTGTGAGAAGAATGCACACGGGTGCACCTTCCCACCAAGGGGGAAAAAATCAGCACAACACCCTCTGCCGCCCCCTCCAGCCAGTGTCGCCACTCACCCAGTGCCAGCCTAACCACAAGCAGCTCATGATTCCCAACATCATAGCTCTGTTCTGCTGGGCTCAGGCGGTGTGAGAAGAATGCACACGGGTGCACCTTCCCACCAAGGGGGAAAAAAATAAATAAATCGCTGAGAGAGGACCGCCCCAACCCCGACCTCAGAAGTGTCAACCTCCACAAACTGCAGATCAGGGTCTGGAACAGACAAGACAGGTGCAGACATGAAACATGATTTAAGTTTCATGAAAGCCCCCTGTGCCTGCTCCGTCCACCTGAAAGGAACACAAGTGGAGGTTAGAGCAGTTAAAGGAGCAGCAGTTTGACTGTAGTTCCGGATGAAACGCCTATAAAAATTAGCGAATCCCAGAAACCGCTGCAATGCTCTACGAGAGTCGGGGACTGGCCACTCTGAGACGGCCCTTACCTTGGCAGGATCTACCTTAACCCCCTCTGCCGAGATTATCTGTCCCAGGAACGGAACGGAGTCTGCATGGAATGTGCACTTCTCCGCCTTGACATACAGCTGGTTCTCAAGTAACCGCTGCAGCACCTGACGGACATGCTGAATGTGTACCTGCAATGATGAAGAAAAAATAGCTCTGTTCTGCTGGGCTCAGGCGGTGTGAGAAGAATGCACACGGGTGCACCTTCCCACCAAGGGGGAAAAAATAAATAAATCGCTGAGAGAGGACCGCCCCAACCCCGACCTCAGAAGTGTCAACCTCCACAATAAACTGCAGATCAGGGTCTGGAACAGACAAGACAGGTGCAGACATGAAACATGATTTAAGTTTCATGAAAGCCCCCTGTGCCTGCTCCGTCCACCTGAAAGGAACACAAGTGGAGGTTAGAGCAGTTAAAGGAGCAGCAGTTTGACTATAGTTCCGGATGAAACGCCTATAAAAATGAGCAAATCCCAGAAACCGCTGCAATGCTCTATGAGAGTCGGGGACTGGCCACTCTGAGACGGCCCTTACCTTGGCAAGATCTACCTTAACCCCCTCTGCCGAGATTATCTGTCCCAGGAACGGAACGGAGTCTGCATGGAATGTGCACTTCTCCGCCTTGACATACAGCTGGTTCTCAAGTAACCTCTGCAGCACCTGACGGTTTGACTAAAGTTCCGGATGAAACGCCTATAAAA